AGAGGCAGAACTTATCAGTGGGGGATGTGACGTGCTGTTTCAGCTGGGAGAATGGCCTTTGTTAAGCCTGGAAGATGCAGAAGCGGAAGATTAGAGAGATATCGACACTTTCTGATGGCGACAATTTTATGATCTGGGGTCAATCTTCTAGGCGGCCCTTTCCTCAAGAATCCCCGCTAGCTTGCCATCCCCAAAGAGTTTCTGCTAGCCTGCCTTTCACTAAAGAGTCTTTGCTAGCCTACCCTTGCCTAAAGAATCTCTGCTGGCTTGTCCTTCCCCAAAGATCCTCTGTTAGTCTGCCCATTCCTAGGGAATCTCTGCTAGTCTGTCCTTTTCTAAAGCGCCTATGCTGGCCTGCGCTGTCTGAAGAATATCTGCTAGTTTGCCATTTCCTAAAGAATCTCTGCTAGCCTGCTCTTCTAGGTAAGCTACAAAGATGTTTTGAGAATTTTTAATACTATTTTTCTCGCGTAAGAAGTTTGTTCAGTGAGAAATTTGAGCCACGGTTTACCCTAAAGCATCAGCCCGGAATTCAGTACCCAGGAATTTGGCGCTAATCACCAAAGCGTGGCGCCCACTATTCCAGCCAACAAGATAAAAGTTGCTACCGCGTTTTTTTTGGGAATGTGCTCATTGATTCGGCGATCAGATCAGGGGAGCTGATTGCTGCCAAGTTAGTTCCTCAAAGATCCCTGCTAGCTTGCCTTATCTTTGTTTTGAGCTAATTTTTACGCATTAATTTTTTTACGTTTACCAAACATCTTAAACACAAACAGAAATTTGTAACAAAAGTTTTTTCGCGTCCTTCTATTTAATTTCCTAAAATACTGTAATCGATGTGCATATTTTAAGGTATCGATAATATTTAAAAATGTTCGCTCTATTTAATTAGATTTTCTACATAGCGAGATGACTTACAGTATGCCAGAAAAATCTATAAAAAAGGATTCTAAAAACAATGGTTTTCACAAGTTTTTAACATTAACCACCGCCTGCCTACATGGTAATTCAGCCAGATGTCTGCTCATTTCCAAATCTTCCCTAATGACTCATTAGCATGGTCGCCCTAATTTTACAGCTTCTTCTGAAGAATTTGGGCAATTTTTTGCGAGGCAGACGCGCCGAGATGACGCCCACACACCCGCCTAGCCATTTTTATCAGCTGACTAAGCGGGGCCTGCTCGAAATGGTGACAATATTAGTTATTAGCTGCGGATTTTCGCGACTCCGCGACTTTCCGGAGCGATTCCGGGTTCACGTATTAAAGGGGCCGGGAAGGCCGATTCTCGCAGCGCTTTTTCACGCTCGAAATGGCTCTGTTCTATCGATCGGGCAAAGTACAAAAAAAATTTTGAATCTTTGTAACAAATCGGATCTTTATATTCCCGAACCCTTTAAAACTCGAAATCGCTAAGTTCTCTCAAATTACCTATCGTAATTGGTATTCGCAAGTTGCCAAAGGTTGGAATTTATGGATTTTCCTCCCTTTACGATCTTTTTAACAGCGGAAATGACGCGAGTTTTCGAAAATCCGGTACTTTTACATTATCGGGGGAGACTGAATTTTTTATGTAAGTCCATTTTCTTCATTAATAGCATAAAATAGTGTATACCACTTCCTATCCTATAGAAAAGCTTGTCCCCCCAATAATGCCAAAGCACGGAAAAACCTGTTCCAATGCTGATCGCGCAAATTTTGATCTACTGAATCTTTTGCCTTTCGGCGCCCATTAAAATCTACAGCAAGCAATACCTTGCCTGTCCCTTTAATGTTCTTTCGGTGTTTTTCAATCCCGAAAATTGGCAGCTTTCCAAGTGTTTCAAACCATTTTCAGACTTCCCAGTCCCTTGAAAACCCCCAAATCGTGCCAGCCGCCCCGCAAATTTTACTGCTTTTTGAGCGCGACCCTAAAATGTGCCCTTTTCGGGAGAGCAGCTGGCTCGTGGCGGCTTCTTGGCTTTTTGATCAGCCCGGAATTCTTCTTGGCTCCCTTTGCCGGGCTGCGATGAGCCATAATCGGCATTGTTCAAGTGCCTTCTTCTGGGGAGCTTCTACGTATTCTGCCGGGTGCAAAAAGGGCAACACAAGGCCAATCAGATCGGAAAGGGCAAAACTTGCCACACCCTTCGAGCCAGGTTGTAGGCTTCATTTTGGAGCTGGACCTTTCTAAAATTGTTTAAGGGTTAGCATTGAACTTATGTAGAATATTTGGCCTAGAATTAAAAATCTATATTTAATTTTTAAGAGGTAATTTTTGGTATTATTTCCGAGCTAGGTACTTTTCGACTGCCTCCTAAAAGGCTTACAAGGGGATGGTCTCAGCTCGGAATCGAATTCGGATTTGAAAATTTGCACACTTATAGAGCTCGACGAGACAAATCGATTGGTGTAACTTTCAGCAGCAGATACCCCGAACTAACAAAGTTATAAGCATTTTTAGTTTTTGCATACATTTTGCAGATTTTTCGCCATACCTTCATAAGCCCTCCCCCTTCCCCTATCACCGTGGCCTGGTGGCCTAGTGGTGTGGTACGCGGCGTCTGGGGAATCTATCAAGGGTTCGAACCCGCTCACGATTTTTATTTTTTGCTTTTTGGTCCAAAGATTCCTCTTGGCATTCCAAAGACCTTTAATGGCTTTTTAGGCATTCACCAGGAACCAGGAAGCGCTTGCAACAACAGCAAAAATAAAATGCCGGCCCATGCCTCCTCAAAAATTTTGGGGAAATTTTCAGAAGGCTGGCAAGGTTATAACCTTTATAGGATCCCAGCTCCAAAGAAAATAATCTTAATTATTTTCATGCAGCTTGGGATACGATAATGTGTTGATAACCAATTGCCAGCCTTCTCAAAATTTCCCAAAATTTTTTAGGAGGCTGGCACAGGAAAATTTAAATTTTTAATGCTGTGCAACGCTTCCTGGTTCCTGGTGAATGCCTAAAAAGCCATTAAAGGTCTTTGGAATGCCAAGAGGAATCTTTGGACCAAAAAGCAAAAAATAAAAATCGTGAGCGGGTTCGAACCCTTGATAGATTCCCCAGACGCCGCGTACCACACCACTAGGCCACCAGGCCACGGTGATAGGGGAAGGGGGAGGGCTTATGAAGGTATGGCGAAAAATCTGCAAAATGTATGCAAAAACTAAAAATGCTTATAACTTTGTTAGTTCGGGGTATCTGCTGCTGAAAGTTACACCAATCGATTTGTCTCGTCGAGCTCTATAAGTGTGCAAATTTTCAAATCCGAATTCGATTCCGAGCTGAGACCATCCCCTTGTTAGAATGAAACTAAATTAATTAATGCAAACCCTAAATTAATTAACGTTTTCAAAAGTGAACGGCAATGGTTTAGCGGCATGGCTTTCCACAGCCGCAATACGACTCGACACGCATCGCGACAGGCAACGCGACACGTTACACGTGACGCAACGCGAAACGTGACGCCGCCCCGACATACATTGCGCAAAGGACAGCGAACAAACAAAAACACGCTGGCCCGCGACACGCAGCGCACGCTCCCCCAGTATACTGCGTAATATGTTGCGCGCTTTAGGACGCGCGCTTCAGAGGCGCGCGTGGCGTGTCGCGGGCACTGGAAATACGACGATTGGGCAGGGCCTAAAATCTACCATCTCCGCCATGAAAAGCCAGCTATGGTAAGACTGCGAAGCCTCGAAAGCCGGTGATACGAAGTTTTTCATGAGACGCTTCGGCTTCGGCTTCGGCTTAGGCATAAGCCTAATCTTAGCAAGTAGACCGTTTCGCTACGGCCTTAAGCTATTTTAAAGGTACTCGTAAGACTAAGAATATGGATTTCAAAGGGACCCGAAGGGGGAACCCGAGAAACCCGCTTACACTACCCCTCTTAAGAGTACAATATATTACAGTACCGTACCCTGCTGATATTCAACCGCGGATTTCCGTTTTTCCCCTTTTGCGAATCTCTTCTAAGATATCATATCTTATTCAAGCTTATTTTCGCCCTCCCGACGAAGATCCCTCAACTTTTTGCTAATTCTATTCCTCACCCCCTTAGTCATCCCCTATATCGGTTTCCGCCAAATATTTTCCCTTTAAAAGCCTCGTGCAACGAATTATAGACAATGGGAAACAATGAAGGGAATTTGGGGGTTTCTGCTATCTGGAATACCGGTTCCGCCGGTCCGGAAATCAGTCGAATTTGGTTGCACCAACGTTTCGTCAATTCCCCAGATGATAAGTACTGCTTTTAGGACGGGTCGTCGCCTATCGGAAGCGTGGCAGAATTTCCTAGTGGTACTGTAGGACCGATTTCAACAATATATAATTTTACTTTTTAATTTTGTGAGGCAGGAATAAATTAGGCTCCGTATTTCCTGTAGATACAAGATACAGACGCTAATGGTACATGTTTTGAGTCGCATTACGGTAATTTTCTTATTCTAAAAGTATATCTAATTTCAGTTTAGTTCTAGATTTTTTTGCCTCATTAGCGACGCATTAATGTTTCCTAGGGACCACCGTAATCCAATTTTCTCTGCTTTTCAAGTCTATTAATCAATTTTACTTTCATTTTCCGTGTTTTCGATTTTCCAGGAATTATTGATAACTTTAAGCTGCTCTTTCCTGATTTTTAAAGCGCACGTTCAGGGAGGGGCCGTGTACTCGTCCCAACGTGTACACCCTATGGACGTAGGGACCGCGCGCACGGCCTGCCCGTGCTGTGACAGGCCATTCCCCTCGTTTCCGAGGTGGGGCGCCCCTCGCCCCCTTACCAGGTTGTAGCTGTGGCTGACTGGTATCCATCCGCGCCTCCCGAGCGGGGGGCCCGGGTTCGACCCCCGGCCGCGGCAAAAACCTTTGCTTTTTTCCAAAAAAACGTCCCTGAACGTGCCCTTTAAGACAGAAATCTGTGTTTTCTTTAATTACCTGTTTTCCATGTATTATTGGCACTATTTATACCGTTGTACCGTAAGCCAATTTTTTTGCAGGTAGCAAAAACCTATCGGGGTGCCGCTCGAGATGCGGTACCAGCTCGTCCTCCTTGCCGTTGTGGTAGCCATCGCAAGTGCTAAGGTGAGGAAGGGGGGAACTAGCAGAGATTCTTTAGGAAGGGAAGGCACGCTGAGGTTGTCTAGGAAAAGGCAGGCTGGCATGGTTTCTTTAGGAAAAGGCAGGTCAGCTGAGGTTCTTTAGGAAGGGGCAGGCTGATCCGGATGCTTTGGGAAGGGCAGGCTAGCAAAGATCCTTGGAGAGGGCAAGATAGCAGAGATTCTTTAAGGCATGGAAAGCTAGCAAAGATACTTGAGGAAAGCCGGCTAGCAGAGTTTCCTCGGGAGGGCAGGCTAGCAGCGATTCTTCGAGAAGGGCAAGCTGCGGGAGATTCTTTAAGACGGGGTAGTTAGCCGAGTTTCTTTAGGAAAGAAAGCTACCAGTTTTCTTTTTCCGTTTTCTAACTCGAGAACGGACCCAGAGTTCCGAACTTTGCCCTCTTTACCCCCTTCAACCCTTTTTCAAGGGTAAGCTCACCTCGCGTCCTCCTAAAAACGTGATAACGGCTTGAAAAGGGGGTGCGAACGCTTTTTATGCGTTCGCGTAAGCCGATTTGTGGCCCCCCTCCATTGTCTCCTCGTTTTTATGGGGATCTGCTGGGAAAGTGGGAATTTGGTGGGGTTCACGAAATTTTGCGGGAATGGAGAAAAACTTTAAGGGGAGGAGGAAGGCGGTTATAGTTACGTTACAGTACGCGAAAACGCTTGACCTTCCGCCACAGTACGCAACAGAGCGTAGAGTACGTGATAGTTCTTAATGCTGTGAGGCAATACGTTACATTACGCTAACGGCGCGGAACGTACGTTAGAGTACGATACTGTACGTTAGAGCACGGTGGATTACCGTATTGCATAGTGCGTTAGGACTTTGCAGCCCCCAGTAGTACGGTTGAGTACTATAGAGTACGGTACAGTACGTTTTAGTAAGGTACGATGCTTCGAAGAACGATAAAGTATAGAGGATAAAGTATTTAATTTATGCGTTTTTTCAGACTCTCGGCAAATCCCGGCTCGGCCGATCACCAGATGAATTCGAAAAGTAGGTTTCCACGTGTTTTTGTTGAATTTTTTAACATTTTTGCACGAGCTAACTTTTGAGCATGAGCATACCGCATTCTAATCACGTTTTTCTGTGCACGTTTGCATGCGGCATGTGGCCCTTTCAGCTATCTGGAGCCGGTAGATGACGTCGGGAATCAGAATGGGATGGAGGTGGTCGACATGGATGGCGACAATCCGACCAGGTTCCACCACACCGAGTGCGCTTTTCATATATTTATGCACTAACGAAAAACACCATATTGACATGCTTTGGGCACGTTTTTTTTACTGTGACTTTCTTACCGTAATCCACCAAACACTGAAACACTTTAATTTGCCGTTTCTATCGTCTGGTTGGTTCAAAAACAAACCCGTTGAATTCGCCAACGATTAACGTGGATTGTTCGAAGCTAAAAATCCGCCGAATATTTACATATTTATTGTTTTTGGCATCTTGTAAAACCGAGTTCAGGTGCGGGACAGTCCTGAAAGAGATTGCCCTCCTCCAACCCGTCAATTCGGCCCGCGGCGAGTACATCCTGAAGCGCATCCTCATCGAGGTCAGTCTGAGCTTATTTATCAGGTTGGAAGGTAAGTCCTGTCGCCGAGATTTTGGAAGGCTGGCTAAATTCGTTGATAGCTCCATTCTGCACATGCGATATGTCATTTTGTAGCTCTATGCCTGAACCGTTTCGGGAGGTGGGCCCTAGACCGCTAAAATCAAGGAGGGCGGAGATAAAGGCCCAAGAAGTTTTTCAAAAAAGTATCAAAAAGTGTTTTTGCAAGTTATCTGTGCATAGAGATATTTGCATGCGATACCTTTAACGCCAATCGACAGCTCTCGATGAGTAGATATCGATAGATGTTCAGATCATCAAAATTGGACAATGGATGGCCGAGATATGGGCCCTTGAAGTTTAGGCCATTTCTTAGAACTTTTCCCGACTTCCCATACATTTCCAAACATTTGACAGATGGGTGCCGAAAATTGCCGCTTTATTTTTGGACGCGCCGCGCAGATTTTGACAAAATGTATGGGAAGTCGGGAAAAGTTCTAAGAAATGGCCTAAACTTCAAGGGCCCATATCTCGGCCATCCATTGTCCAATTTTGATGATCTGAACATCTATCGATATCTACTCATCGAGAGCTGTCGATTGGCGTTAAAGGTATCGCATGCAAATATCTCTATGCACAGATAACTTGCAAAAACACTTTTTGATACTTTTTTGAAAAACTTCTTGGGCCTTTATCTCCGCCCTCCTTGATTTTAGCGGTCTAGGGCCCACCTCCCGAAACGGTTCAGGCATAGAGCTACAAAATGACATATCGCATGTGCAGACTGGAGCTATCAACGAATTTAGCCAGCCTTCCAAAATCTCGGCGACAGGACTTACCTTCCAACCTGATATTTGGATTTTACAGTTGCCATTTTGGCTTTCCAGTCCCTTTAAATTACTCTAAATTCCAGAAAGACACCGGAAAGCCAGCTACCGGCCCATGCGTCGATGCCCTGCAAGACACGTTGGACAAGGAGGACGCCCTCAAGCCGTCCTTCATCATGAAGTTTGTAGTTTGGGGTTTAAGGGTTTTTTACAGTAAAATAACTGAACTTTTAATGCGTTGATTATGTTACTAATTATACCCGAATCCCAGACGCCGTAGCATGGGTGGCGTCGACCCGCAGCGCCAGCCGCTTCCGGAGCTTCCGGTTGAGCCGGAGCAGCCCGTTCACCCGATCGTCTACTCCCCACCGGTCAACCACCACCACCATAACCCGCATCATCAACATCAACTGCCACCTGTTGATGACGTTGACAGGGTAGGTTTATGATTATAGCTTTTTTATATGGATTTCAGTTGTTTAGAGTTTGAAAAGCTATTAAAAAACATAAAAACTTTCTATTAAATTAGAGCGTGACCTTTATCGACGATATCTATATAAAATCTATGAAATTAGAACGTGACCTTTATCGACTACGACTCGCAATTCACCGACGGCGAGCTGCAACAGCTGGTAAAGCGAGTGTCAAATAGCATGCGCGCGGTGTTTTGCATGAATTCATAACCTTCTAAGTTGTTGTGGAGGTGTAATTATACTTTATTTTGAGTTCTAGACGTCTATACGACTTTTATATAACGTTTTTACATTATTTTAGTCCGCCCCGCGCCGCCCATGGGGTCTCGAGGCGCCCTCGGTGCAGCAACTGAACGGCCCCGCCTACAGGAATGGTCGCCGCAACAAGTGCTCCTACAATCGGCCAGTACAACCTGTTGTCAACCCGGTAGGCGAGAGAGAGAGAGAGAGAGAGAGAAACTCATCCCTTAAATCACGAAAAACTTCAGGAAATCCGCCCCAACCGCCGAGTATGCCGCCGCCGTGACCTGCCCCCAGCGCCCCCGGCCCCGCTCCCGTTCTGCAACACCGAGAAGCCGTGGCTGAACTCCGCCCCCTGCATCAACCCACCCACCACGGTAGGGCTGAGCCACTACAGCTTTTTCACACAAAATCCAACGAGCTCAGGAGGGCTGAAAATACCAATTTTTCTGTAAAAATTTAATTTTCCTTTTTTTTTGATCTGTTTGGAGAGCTCTAAATGGTTAAACTTTTTAAAATGCCCTTTTAGCAAGCCACCTACTCCGAGGTAGTCCAACTTCCGGTCGAAATCGCCCCGCCACCCCCGCTCGTCTACCCCCGATCCTCGCCCCGGAAATGCAAGAACAGCAAGGTCTCGCCGCTGCCGATTGGGCGAAGGTAGGAAATGCTTAATTAATCCAAAAATCGTTTGTGTTTGGATTTTATACACAAAAAAACCGGCGAAAAGGAATTGGCGCGCGCGGTAGCGCAGAAGGTCATACTACTGGACCAAAACGACGATAAAACACGGAAAACCAATTACGACGCAAAATCTATGTGGGACCGTGTTAAAGTGTCTAAAGTAGTGCATCGTAGCCAACGGTACGCTCCTCTGGACACGTGTATTCTTCCGGTTTTCCATTATTCTCTTAAAAATACATTTAAAAACTAAATAAAATACTAATGATTGCTTTTAGGTGCAAATCCCGGGGGTCGCAGCACCGTCTACAGCCCTTGCCACCGAGCCAAGACTTCAGCGGCCCTCGCTATGAAGTGAATGGAAATGGGCAGGTAGGCTAGCAGAGATTCTTTAGGAATCTGGCGAGAAGCCGGGATAATCGTAGTTATGTAAAAACCACTTTTAGGACTCGTCTCTCGACCTGCAGCAACCCTACGAATTCAGCTATGAGGATCGTAAGGTTAGAAAGTTTAAAAAACTTGTTTTTTGACGGTTTATTTCGATAGTTTACATTGCTACACTCTAGGCTATATAGAATTGACGTTTTAAGATATATTTTTAAGCAGTTTGCTCTTTCTAAACCCTAAACTAAACAAATTACGTTTTTCTTTATATTTTAACGTCTAAAAACCAAAATAAAATCTTTTCAAAGCTCAAAAATTGCTCAAAATAAGTACTAAACCATTTTTCAGAAGCGCGAGCCCATCCCAGCCCTTCCGGTCTACCGATTGTAGAGCTTTACGGCCAAACACCAACGATTTTCCCCTTGAAATCTTCACTTTCCCCGTTCGGCTTTCAGCGGCGACGCTAATTTTAGCTTCGAAAATTCGCTAATAAAAAGAAATATAAGCTTTAGCCCATCGTCGCGCATTCCCCGCCCTTGCCATTACCAAAATTCAGTGCAATTAATTCATCACGAAGCCCCTAAAAGTGTATATAACCCATTTTAAACGTTTTATTCCCGAAAAATCCTCCTCTAAAAACTGCCTCCAGGCACGATAGGCGCCCTTTCAATGTACGTTCTTGATGAACTGATACTTTTAATATGAAAAGTGAAATAAATGAAATGCTATAAAGATTTATATTGAGCAACAAGGTATGAAATATCACAATTCGAAGAGAGAAAAACACTCAAAAGTCGGGCGGATGACCATAAAAAGCGTGGTGTTGCAGAACTTCTCGCGGATGCACGGGAACGTCGTCTCGAAGTGGAGCTCTTCCTAAAAACAAAATAGAATCAAATTATAAATTTATTCCTCGGAAATTGACTTGAAAACCCGGCCATTTTCGTAGGTGACGTCCTCAACGACGGTCAGGCGGTTGCGGCCTAAAATGAAGTTTTGCTTCTTTGAAAAAGCAACTTTTTTCTAAATTTTCTGTATAAAAAGTTCAATCGTTTACACAGTTTTTTTGCTGTTAATCAACGTAAAACTCATACAAATTTTTATTAAGATTACAAAAAACCTGGATCTTCGACCAAAAATTGCTCTTTTCGAAACATTTTTCCCCTGGTTCTCGTAAAAGTGCACTTGAAAAACAGCTGAATTTTATCACTATCCTATTTTTCAGCAATGGAACCGTTTTAAATCGATTGAACTCCTAAAAACCAACCCAATTCCGTGACGAATTCCTGGATCGTTTCCGGTACCCGAATCGTTGAGGCTAAGATGGCAAAAGCAGAGGGAGAAGCTTGAAAACAGGCGACCAGCGTCTCGCAAAGCGGCTTGAAAAGTGATGGGTCGTAGAGTACATCTAAAGATATTAATTAATACACGAAAAATTACAAACCAGAAGCTATAATGACATCCGGAGCGTAGCTCTGCAAAAATGATCGGTCGTCTTTATCTTCCCAATCCAGGAGCCGGGTTTGGGCGTTTTTTAACTAAAATAGCAAGGAAGAAGTGTCTATAGGAGTGTAAACTACCCGATTCCGCCGAACATTTGCTTCCAGGCGCTCTAGAACGTCATTGTGGTAGTCGGTGAGCAAAATATTGGCCTGGGACCTTGATTTGGCGATGGAAAGCCCTAGAAAAATGCCTTTAGATTTCAAGACAGTCGTTTAAACTCTATAAACAATTAAAAAACCTTTCAATTTCATAAACAATCCATTTAAAATTTATTTACGATTTTATAAGCTATTGAAAAATTATAAAATCGTTTTAAAAAATACCGGCCAACCCGCATCCGGCGCCCAGCTCCAAAATGTTGCCCGATAACTGTAGTAGCGAAGCCAAATACGCGAGATCGTGAGCGGCCTAGAACGAATTTTTATGTTTAAAGCTAATTTCAAAACCTACCGGCCAAGTCTTCAGCCCAGTCGTCCCATTTCTGATGTGAACATTTTCTTCTTGAATTTGCAGCAATTCCGTAGACTCCGGATACCCGGAAATCGATTTTTGGAGCTCCGGAAATGTCGTGAGGCTCGGGAAAAATGTCTAAAAACACACTGATTACCTTTTTAAAAAATCCCATACTTTTATGAAGCTCCTGGCGATATTTTTCGCCTCAAAAACGCCTGAATAACAAGCGTCAGGGAGCGTGAGGTCAAGCTAAAAAGCTTTACTAAGCTGGTTAAAGCAATAAAACCCACTTCAACGGCCTTTTCGAGGATTCGCTTCAGCGTTGGCCCGTGAAATGATGGGTGCTGCTCGAGTTCCATATAATCTAGACGAAAATTTTTGAAGGTAGCTCCGATTTTACCGTTTATCAGCCGGCATATCCGTTCGAAACTGCCCTCAGAATCGAGCACATTTTCATAAACACCGTCCGGAATTGCGGCGCCTGACAATAAGCATCTCGCAAAGCGTAGACACCGGTCCTAAAAGACAATATTCAACTCCTGTAACGTTACGTACCTCTTGCTCATTCTTCTGTGAAGCCGAAGCCGTGAGGAGTGCTGGAAACTGAAGTAATTAATAAAAGGTAGCCACAACAAACTTACTATCCGAAAATCCATTGTAAAGTCGATTTATTACCCTTGAAAGTATCAAAAAACCACTTTTTAGATATTCAGTTACGATAGGAAATTCTGCGTACAGAGGACGGCGGCGTACACCCCTGTAAAATTGTTCGCAGTATGAAAAAACTAAAAAAGGTTTCAAAAAATCAAAATTGAGTCGCACTAAATTGGAATTGACGAAGATAAATTGCAAATGTCGTTATTTACTAGTAATTAGTTCTTAAAAGCTATTGAAGAAAGTTTTGAGCACGATTTATAGGTTTAAGATTCATAAAATTGAAAAAATTATCACAATCGATCAATCAATCACAAAGGTAATAAACTAGTGGCTTCTTCATTCTCTTTTCAGCTTGGCAAGTCGGGCCAGGTTCGTTTTGCGCTGCTCGAGGGCTGCGGGATGGTCTGGGACACTGGTGCGCATGCTCAGTGAAATCTAAAATACCGTTTGAATTGATTTTTAAATTATGAAAGGTTTTTCTTTTGACGTTCTAAACGGTTTCTATTGTCTAAAACAAGAAACTCTGGTTTTCCTACTTTTTCGATCACTTCTGGCTCTTCAAAGCTGGGAGTCGGGCCCATATCCGCCAGGACACGGCGGATTCCGGCTGCATAACGGTTGCAGTAGTCTTCGACACCTAGATCAATTTTTAATAGGTATATTAATAAGCGTTTAAATAGTTTTAGTCTAAATTGTTTGAATTTGTATACCTAACGCGTTTAGATGAATCGTTTGTAGAGGTCCCTGGAAGGCGTAGCGCGGTCCTAGTCCCTCGCTCATTACCTAAAACGCATAGAGATATGCGAATTGGCTTAGGGCTAGGCTTAGGCTTGGCTTAGTCTTAGGCTTGGGTTCAGCCTTTAGCTTTTCCTACCTTATCTACATCTTCCGGGTCCAATACCCCGTCTTTCACAAGTCGCCAAGCTTCAGCGAGCAAGGCATATTGAAGTCGATTCACGGCAAAACCGAGTACTTCTCGATTCAAACGGACTGGGGTCTAAACTAGCAAGTTGTTGCCTAAAGAGTACCCTCACCTGCCCGATGTCCTTCATCAACTCGACCGTTTTTGCGACGCTGATCTCGTCTGTCCAGGGGGCTGGGACCACCTCCGTCAAGCTGAGGTATAGTGGCGGGTTGACGGGATGGACGACAAGGCAGCGGCTTCTGAAAAAAAGAGGTTTTTGTTGAGAGGTATGAGAGAGAGAGAAAGAGAGGGAGTGAGAGAGACAGCGAGAGCTACCGATTCTTGAGCGTCTCCGTGAAGGTCGACGCCGGAATGGTAGATGTACTGCTTGCCAGAATCGTTTCCGGTCCGGCGATGGCGTCCATTTTGGAGAAGATATCTTTTTTGAAGGTTTCGCTCTCCATTGTGGATTCCTAAAGGGGTTCTGAAGACTTCTGCAGCTTTTTGTCTTATCAACGCATCAATGATTACTAGCCTTTTTGCTATTACTACTGCTTAATGTCATAATTTACTGCTTTATTTTATCCTACTGATTACGGATTTACCTGTACATAAATTGCGCCATGTAGTGCCTCGGCCAAATCGACCGTTCTCGTCACCTGGGCCATAGCTTCTTCAATCGTATACTTACCCCGGCTAAGTTGCTCTTTCTGAAAAGTTTGGTTTAATTTGCGCAATGAATTAAATTTAAGTTAATTATCAGATCTTTAAATAATAAAATAAATAAAAAATAGATATACAGGGTGCGGCAAAAGTATTGTCGCGAGCTTTGCCTCATATCTGATGCGCGACTAAAAATCGGGAAGTTTTGTCAACAGGGTTAGCTTCAAACAGGTCCAAGGCAGCAATCTGCTTTTGAAAGTTTCTTGGAATCATGATTTTTGAGCGAGTTTCATTGCATGATGTACGCGACCAAAAATCACGGTGCGCCGCGTCCTCGGTTCGTCGAAATAGGCTTCTGAATTCGGAGACTACGTGGGACCATGACTTTTCATATGTGTTTCTGGTAGCATTTGCTTTGTTCTCCGTCGTCCAAAACGGAAATCTTATAATTTTGTGATTTGAAGGAGTTATGGCCTCAGCAATGGTTGACGAAAATGGGCTAATCTGGCCGGTTTCGCGAGAAGCTTGGGTTTTTTGGTTTTTATTTTCTGAAGGGGCTTTCAGGGGATGACGTAACGGCATATTAGTATGCTTCCTGTTTGCTTATTTTAATGTGTATGATGCGCTAAAACCTGATCGCTATCCACCTATGGTTTGAAAAAAAATTAATTTTGCATTTGCAAGCAGTCATGGAAGCTTATGTTTTCGAACCAGGTCAGGACTACTAGGCTCAAACTTCGGCAATATATAAAAAGTAGCATGGATCAACCACAGAAAAATTAGCAAGGCTATCATTGCTTTGCGGACGACACAATCTCGCTTTTTGCATACGGGGCGGTCATGTGCGGCGCACTGGATTTGCCTCGTCTTTGAATAGGGCTCCCTCAAAAAAGGAGCCGCAACATTCTTTGGTTGATGGTTTCTCAGGCAGAGTTTTACATGCTCTTTCAAATTAAATAAGAAGTTTGGCGTAGATACCATTCTTTGGCCACCTAGAGAGCGTCTAAAAAGCAGTTTTTAGGCTTGAATTTGCCGGGTTTTTGGAAAAAGTTGTCTTAGAGACAAAAAAAAGCAAAAATTCTGGAAGTAAATCTTATCATCGGATAAAGCATTAAAAACTGCATAAAATAGATTTTTGGCTAGAATATCTGTCAAATTTCCTCGCAGATACAGCCGGCGGAAAGTCGCGACAATACTTTTGCCGCACCCTGTAATTTTACTTGATAAAACGCTTAATTTATTCTTTAAGGAACATTTAAGGATAACAGACCTGCATAGTATTGAGATTCCCGCGTATCCGTCCAACACCCGCTTGGGCCAATGAGTCGTTGATCTCATAGACCGCTACCGAGTACCCGGCCGAGGCGAACATGGCGCCCCAGCAGGAGCCGATCAACCCGCTGAAAAATATTTAAATTCGCCGCCCTTTGTTAACCAGGATATTGATCCGAACGGCTCTAAAAAAGCTTAATTTGCCGAATCCTGGTTTTAATCAGAAAATTGTTAAATTTTCAAAAAAACTTAAAGGGATGCCGACGGCATAGTCAATCGATTACGCGCGGAAAAGAAAATGTCTCTGCGCCTCTCCCCAGGGCGCGCTCTCTCCCCTGTTGGCTACTTGCCAATTTGTTGATGAGGGGGATCGACACATGCCGTCGGCAGCCCTTTAAGCAAAAATATTCAAGGCTACGCCTTCAAGATGAAAATTAGGCACTCTTGAAATTGAGATTTATACAATTTTGGAATTATTCGTTTCGGAATGGTAAAATTTTGCATTTCTTGGTTTTAGCCTAGCGTAGCCATTTTCGATGCGTATTATTATTCAAATTCAAGCTTTAAAGGCAATAATATGCGCTTATACTCAATTTTCATGGTCTTTGGGGGGGTTTTATCTGGCCTCTTCGAACTTTATGCAAAATACGGGTTGCAAATCTGCTTGAAATCTTCGTTTGTAGGGACCTACCACCCAACAATGGCCACTTTCCCTTTCGTTTCGCTCATTTCCGGCTCTTCTCGGATCCTTGAAGAAAATATCATAAAAATCAAGGAAATTCGGCACGAAAGACACAGATTAAAAATGACATAATATTTGGGGGAACGGTTGGAACGGTTTTTCGGAAGAGAGGGCTGCACAGAAAGGCGTCACCCCCCTGGACACTTTTATCAAGAGTTCCGAGAAAAGCCGTAAAATTGGGAAGGGACAGGCAGGCAATATTTGGCACTACGATTCGACAGTGGCTGCATCCGGGCTAAAAATAGGATGCTTGTGAGTTGGCGAAAACTATAAAGATATGAAGGCTTGGGCTCTCGCTCTCTCGCTCTCTCTCGCTCTCTCTCTCTCTCACTCTGTTTAAAATTCCAGAAGCTACGCTGAATTCCAGTCAAGCACAAATGACGAAAAGTTACCCGCGCCATCCCTTTAAAAATGAGCAGGAAAGAGGCTAGCTTGCAGCGATTATTTGGGAAACTCGAGAGACAGGGAGAGCGGGAGAGAGAGAGAGAGAGCGCGCGCGAGAGAACGAGAGTTAGTGAGAGTGAGCGCAAGATAAAAAGAGCGTGAGAGTGAGAGCGAGAGGGGAGAAATGTAGTGAGATTGAGAGATAGCGAGAGAGAGAGAGAGCGAGAGCGAGAGAGAGAGGGGGGGAGGGAGAGAGAGTATAATTTTCATGAGTTAACTAATCAAAACCACACAATCAGCACCCGAAAAACCCGTGAAATGCGGCAAATTCCCCGGTAGAAAACAATAGCAAAGTATGGAGAGAATCCATGGGTTGCCTCCTCGACTTCCTGGGGTGTTTTCTCTCACCTTTCCTTCCTTCCTTCCTTCCCTTTCTTTTCTCGTTTTTGATTCCCAGCCCTTTTTGGGGATTGCACATTGATATCGGTCACGAGGCCGGCCTATCCCTGGGCAGCAACGATCAGCCAATGCCCCGCGGCGTTTCTCAGGTAGAAATCGATTTGGGGTGGAAAAGACTAAAGATCAAAGGCGTTACATGAACTTGTCGGCGCATTAATGGTAATCCAGATCCCGGATTTCCCAAAGGAACCCTGCTAGCGTGCAAAAGACGATGGTACTGAACTGGACGCGGAGGAGGGAGCGCCGAAACCTAGTTTTCCACCTATTAAATTTATAGTATAAAGCATATATAGTGTATTTTTATATTATTCTTTAGTAGTTTTTGATTGCTAAAAAGGCTTAAAACCGCTGTACATTTTTGAAAATTTAAAATTTTGAAACTTTCGAAATCTAGAAGTGTTTGCATGCGGCTGTTAGATAAAAAATGCGAAATAATGCTACAAAATTGTTTAAATTCCGTTGTGGGACTCATTTGCGCGTCATAATCGATTATATAGAGGTGAATAAAATAAAAATATATAAAACGTATGATTGATTGATTGATTTTTGGACTGCTAACGTGTTCCAGCGCGTTTTTTCTTTGAAAAACCCTCAGAAACTCTATTTCAAAAGAAAACCCAAACAATTGATTTTTCTAAAATAGCAAAAATTCTTCTAAAAAATAGAATGTCTATTTTCGCTCGGCGCTGCCAAAACAAGAAGCGTCTGTTTCACTGACTCATCGCTAGGGAAAAGCCCCGGAATGGGGGATGAATGATGGTGAGGGGAAATATAGACAAATTCTACAGATTTTGCTAAGCATACAGTAGTAATAAAATAACTAGGAATAATCCGATAAAAACCGCAAGCTTCTCTTTCAACTTTAAAGTTCGTTGCCGGACCGGCGGGCTCTGCGCTTTGCGGGCGCGCGGCCCGGCTTCCCGGCGCGCGCGGCCCCGGCCGATTCCAGTGGAAAAAACTCTTAAAAAATGGCTGTTTTGTAGATTTCGTAGGCTTAGAAAGCGTTTATTTTAACTGAATTAGCGTTGTAAACAAATATCGAGTCTCGAAGTTCTTTTTGTTTATAATAAACAAGATTTTTGAGGTATAAACCTCAAAATCCTGAAGAAAATCACGATTTTGACGGTTTCCGGCGTTTTAATTTGTTTCTATACAGCAGAGTTTGACTATTCTTGGTTTTAATCTACAAAACCAGCTTTTAAAAGGATATCAGACTATTCTATGTGATTTTTGGAGCCTTTTTTAGCATTGCAAAACTTTTGGAAGCGTCGATTTTTGATTGACAGCTGTCGAAGGAAGCTTCGGAAGTGAGAAAAATCCTGATAAAGTATACTAAAAAGCATACCACATTTCTTTCAGTTTTCTGACGATTTTCACAAAAATATCCACCAAATTCTGCGCACCCCCGGGCTTTTCCCCGCTTCACCGTATTTGTCAACTCGGACCGCCGGCGGGCCTGTGCCAAATTGTCCCGTTTGGGCGGCGCCCACACCCCCACCCCACATCAGCCCTCTCCGTCGACCCCCTCCTCGGTGAGCAGGTGGCCGAGTGGTTAAGGCGTTGGACTGCTAATCCAATGGGATTTTCCCGCGTGAGTTCGAATCTCATCCTGCTCGAATCTTTTGCTTTTTGGGACTGGGTCGGTATGGTGTAGGTATCTGGCCCTGGTAACCAGGATGAAGCTTTATTTTTTGAAAAAAATGGCTTTAGCGCTTTAAAAATCGCTTTGCATAATCATTTCTAGTGGATATAACCTTTATTTTTCATTTACTGCTTCGCTTTCAGCTTTGCGTAGCGTTTCTTGAGTAGAGCGGCGATCACTCGCTTCCGGAAAGCAGCTCTAAATAACTTTTTAATTATTTTGAAGGTTTCCTTACCTATCCTCCTGGTTCTTAGCAGCCGGATTGACTTCAGGAGTTTCTGGCAGGTTCACGATACTAAATATGGAAATTTTTTAAAAAAAACCGGGCCCAAAAATACCCATAATTATCCTGGGTAGCCAAAAGTTGATGGTAGTGTTGGGGTTCGGCAGCCGGATGGGATACGGCCGGAATGTCGTTTGGCGGAAAGTCCGCACCATACTGGTTACGATATTAGGCCGCTTTTAGGTTCAAAACGTACCTCTTTGACTTCTAGGACTTGTTGCTGGCCTTTGGGCGGGCATGGACAATATTCGGCATCGCTTCCGGGGCCTCCGACACGTCCCGGCTGGAAAATTGGTCTTTTTTGGAGTCTAAGGGGCTTGAGAAGGCAATAAGGCTAGCTAGCAGCGATCGGTTAGCAAAACAACCCTCCATAAACTTACCAATCCACGATTCCCGGGTGTCCCATTGAAACCGCGCTTCCCGGGAGGTCCCAGTGGCCCAACAGGCCCTGGAGGACCAAGCGGCCCAGGTTGGCCTGACGACCCTGGTGGGCCCCTAGGCCCCAGGGGCCCTGGTGCCCCCTGAGGCCCGGGAAGCCCGACCATGACCATCTGATTTCGGCCTTTCTCTCCAGGTTTCCCGTTAGAGCCGTCATTGCCAGGTGGGCCCTCATCACCGGGAGGTCCTAAAAATAGATTTTGCCGTGATTTCTTGGATAGAATTGCGAGAAATAGTTGAATAAGGCGCATGAACGCATCGCTGATGCATTCTCGGTGCATCGCTTGAATCACCTACCGCATTCTCCAGGCAACCCGCGTCGCCCAGGTCGCCCTCGACGCCCAGCTTCTCCGTCAAGTCCCTAAACAACCGGAAGTGAAAAAAGACTCTCTGGTATCGCTCTGTCTCTCTCTGTCTCTCTCTCTCTCTGTCTATCTCCCTCTCTTGCTCTCTCTCCTCTCACATACCGGTGGTCCGGGTGGTCCAAGCGCTCCGGGACCACCAGGAGGCCCCGCTGGGCATACGATACATCCGGGAGTCTCATACGGCTGCCCCACAGGGATCGAGATTCCATCGGCACCCGGCCGACCGGGGCTACCAGGAAAGCCGAGGTCTACAAGAAGGTGATTTTCTCGCAAAAAACAGATTTGTACAGAATTGAGAAGAAACGAGGTTTAGCCTTACATAAAAACTACAAAAAATGTCTGTATTTTACAACAAAATGAGTCTAACCTTTAGCTTAGCAAAAACCATACCTCCCACGTCTCCCGGCTCGCCTGGAGGCCCTGGTGGCCCCGGTGGGCATCCGCTGGCTTGAGGACCGCAATCTGAATGTTTTAAGCGATTTTATTAAATTGTAAAATGTATCTTCTACTCTGGAAAATACTGTAAAAACCCACTGCACTGTTGACCACCATCAAATTGGAGCAGGTTCTCGTCGACGCCCTCATTTCCGGTGTCCCCATCGAATTCCGGCTAGGAAATTTGTATAAAAAGTCTTAGAATATTTCAAATTAAAAATTTAGGAGTTTTCGCATAGTTTAAAAAATAAACTGGCTTGTAAACGGCGACGGTATTCAAGCAATTTTTGAAAATCTAGATTTTTTTTCGTATACAGTTCATATGCAAATTGAAAATGCAAATTAGTCCGAGTCTGACCCCACCTGGCCGTATTGCTTCCGGATTCGCCTCCGCGCTTCAAGCTGCATGCCGAGGATTCGATGGGTGTAGGTTGAGCGGGCTGTCCTGGGGGCCAATTCCTGCATGTCGTCCCAGGCCATTTTGGAGAGCCTCTGTATTCAAATTAGGCTTTAGAGCGGAACATCGACAAGCACAACCCCCGACATCCAAAATGCCGACATAAAAATGCTGACACGCAAAATGCCAACGCAAAAAATGCCGACACAGTAGATGCTGATAAGGCGAAGTACCAACATGCACAATGCCGTCATCCAAAATGCCGACAGCATAAAGGACCAGTAGTAATTCCGATACTCCAGATGCGAATAAGTCAAAATACCGACAATCGTAACACCCCGACAGTCAGAATGTCGATAGGCCAAGAATAAAACAAAATTCCGATTAGCTGAAATGGCGACAGCCAATATGCCGACATCAAGAACGAATTTCGACTTATGGGCATTTTTGTGACGACATTTTCGGCCAAAACATTCGATCCAAAAATTTTTTACGGCTTTGGTGTCGACATCTTGAAAGTTTGCATCTTATAAGGAGTGCTTTTTTTGAGTCATACGCAAATCATTTCCAAAGATAGTGCATTCGATAGAGAATTTCAGTCTGAGTAGCGCTATAAGGTTCATTTTTGCAGAATGGCTGTCCCCGATTTTATAAAATTAAAAAACTAAAACGGGGTTTTCCTACATCCCTCGGCGCGCACCGATGCCATGGATGCTAGCCACCGGGACAAGGGGGCCTAGATGGCCTCCCAACCACGATTGACGTTAGCGCAGTCGGTAGTGCGTATGTCTTTGAAAGTTTTTTGGACTTCTCTGGGAGGTTCGATTCTTCCACGTGTAATTCCTTTTGCTTTTTGAATTTTTATAGCGGTGAATGGCTTTTTGGCTTCAATTACCATGGAATCCGCTCTATGAACAGGCACGACTACAGTTAAATCCCGGTGAACAGTGACAAGGCTCGGGCCTGGAGAGTTCACTTTGATCAACTTTCAGCAATTGCCAACTCAAAAACGCAAAAATCACATCCCTATGTACGGAAACGCAATTGACCATAAAAAAGCAAAAGAAATTACATTTGGAAGAATCGAACCTCCCAGAGAAGTCCAAAAAAGTTTCAAAGACAACCGCACTACCGACTGCGCTATCGTCAATCGTGGTTGGGAGGCCATCTAGGCCCCCTTGTCCCGGTGGCTAGCATCCATGCCATCGGTGCGCGCCGAGGGATGTAGGAAAACCCCGTTTTAGTTTTTTAATTTTATAAAATCGGGGACAGCCATTCTGCAAAAATGAACGTTATAGCGTTACTCAGACTGAAATTCTCTATCGAATGCACTATCTTTGGAAATGATTTGCGTATGACTCAAAAAAAGCACTCCTTATTAGTTGTCGGCATTGTTGTCCGTATTCTTGCTGTTACTCGAAAAAAGCTTCAGAGGGCGTAGCTGACCTTAAACTCCTCGACGTCGGCCATGCTATCATGGAATACAGTTTGTACCTCGAGGAATACTCTTCCCAGATAGAAAATAGAAACCGCCAACACGAAGGAGGAACCGATCAGGGATACGGTAGCGGCCAGACGGATGCCTTTTAGGGAGGGGCGGCCCATCTGAAATGGAGAGAAAGAGAGAGGGAGAGAGAGATAGAGAGAAAGCGACAGAGAGAAAATCGGCTGGAGATATTGAAATTTAATATGATTTTAACTGAAGCTCCAAAAATTGAGGTCAGTGGACCCTTAAGAAAAGCACTAGGAAAGCCAATTTATAGAAAGCCCGAGGGTCTGGCTCTCTCGCGCTCTCTCTCTCAATCTCGCTCTCTCCCTCTCTCTCTCCCGCTACAGACGGAAAATGGAGAAGGATACCTTTCAAGTGCTTTGATGTCCAACCATCCGTCTTCCCTTCCCCCTTAAGGGTCTATTGCCACTTGTAGCAGATCCACAACAGGTAATTGGGGGAGTCACGGTTCGGGAGAGAGAGAGAGAGAGAGAGAGAGCGAGGGAGCAACGACTTTTGCAAAATCGAATTTTCCGAATAATCCCCGGTGCACAAATAATGGAGCACCAGCCTCCGCTCCCTTTATTTGTTCCTCGTCGTGCTCACAAATCTGGTTTCCCGCGACTGCTTTTCCTTGTATGTAGATTTGCATACTATCGGTTCTTTTGGCATTATCGGGGGGAGATAGATTTTTTTGCATGAGTCCAGAAATGCCTAGGGAGTATTTTAATATTTTTTAACTTCAATTTAGCTATATTTAAGGTGGTAAACTGGCTAAGACACTTGGAAAATATTGAAATTTCGTTCAGAAATGGAAATGTGGATGAAAAAGCGATATTTGTTGTATTTAATAAAAAAAATATTAGTTTTGGGTTTTGATTTACACGTAGTAAAATTTATTTTTATTTTTATTTTGTAATATTTTGCATTTATTTTTACAAAAATATCCAACGAATTTATACTAGCCACACAAAAATCAAAACAAGTATAGCCATAATCTCTCTTTTATCTAGCAAAAAAATAGAAAAACAGGGAATCAAGACACGTTTCGGGACACGAAATAGGGGGGCCTACTGTAGATACCGTATACGGTAGCTACGGCATTACGGTAGGCATGCAAATAGTAAAACATCGGCACAATTTGGGGTGTAGAAAATTTAATAAACACGAAAAAAAAGAAAATCACCAGGTGGGCATCCGAAAATTCTAAAATTTGCATAAGAAGCTAAAATTTGACACATTGAGCTCGATACAGTATCGGAAAGGAAAAAAGAAGTTTTAGGAAATGGGCGCTGTGCGTAGGTACATTGGGGGCATTTTAAAGGGCCGTTCAAGACAGATTTCCTGTATCTTTTTTGAGAAATATTTTTTAAGTCGAACTGTAGATTTATGCAAATTAAAGATTTTCGAACTTAATTTGCATAAAAATGACTTCAAGACTTGTGTAAAATGCAAAAAATAGTTTTTAAAGGACCATTGAAGTCAGGCTTTCCTTATGTTGTTGGTAGATTTTGATCAAATAAGTTTGTAATGCCTAATTAGCATAAAATTACTTTAGCGGTCCTCTAAAGGAAAAATCATGCATTTTTAAGAGCCAGATTTTCTGTATTTTTTGAAGAAATATTGTGTGAATCTTACTGTCGTTTTCAGGGCCCTAATTTGCATAAAAATAGCTTCATCGACTCTGTAAAGTCGCGAAATGACTTTTCAAGGGACCGGGAAGTCATTGGAAATCCCAAAAATTCCGAAAATACTTTAAACAGTCAAAAACTAGATTTAAATAGCTGCGCATTTTTGAACTATCATGGGTGCGTATAGAAGGAGAGGAAAAATATACAAAAATGACAAATACAAAGTACAGTAGTACCGCAAAATCGATATTTTCACCCGTAACTCTTGAGCGCTTCCTCCAGCGACGCGTACGCTTCATCGCCAAGCTTCAGCGTCCTCGTACGGCGTACTAAAAAGGATAAATTAAATTTTTCGTACTGTAACCACAGTAATTATTCAAATACTACAGTAATTAGGCAAATTATACAGTTTTTCTGGGTTAGACGCACGCCAAAAACTTTACAAAATTAGTACATAGTCCGTTGAAACCGAAAATGTTCCGGGGCACTCCAAAAAACGAGACAAAATATGAAACTTTTTATTATTTAAGTCCAAATTAAAAATATATCGATCGGAACCAAGGACAGGCCAGAAACCACGGTTATCGTAATTTTATCAAGTAACCTTTGATTTCTGCGATTTCGGCACGGCTACTACAAACGGCCGACTGAAAATTGGAGCGTTCCGGAAAGATCTCGAAATTAGGATAAAGTCCGAATTTTTATATTTGCCATTTTTAGGTTAAGATTTTCCAAGGAATACTGTATCGTTCGTAGCGTACTGCGGCGGAGACTGCGAAATTATAGTGTACAATAGAGTAACGTCACGTAGCGCATCCTGTTATGAGGGCCTACGGTATCCTACGGTAGACTTATGGTAACATACTTTGGTGTATTGTAGCGTACCTAGGCATACTGTAACTTGCGCTAATGTACTACTAACGTATTGTGCTGTCACCTACTGTAACTTGTTACGACGTACTACGACGACTGGCTATATTACGACGTTACGTATTCGATCGTAACATTTGTGTAGCGTACTGTCGCGTAGCTTAGCGCAGTGATTCGTACCCTAGCATACTGTCCTGTACTTTAGCGTATTTTATCGTACTTCCGCGTGTCGTATCGCATCCTAGCGTACTCTATCGTAGCTTAGCGTACTAACGTTGTGCATCGTTATACCATGCCATCAGGTGTACTACCGTCTTGTACTGTAGCTTACTGTACAATATGGTAAAATTATTTTGGTGCAGTGGATCCTACGGTAGGTTACTGTAAAATTAATGAAAACTTACAAGATTTCCGGTTGAGCTGTCGTGCTCGGCGTCGTTCCCTGGGTTCAGCTGATGTGAGACCGGTGGCTGCTCGAACCAGACCGTCCAATAACGCATTCTCCAAATCATCCCCACCATCCAGGGGTGAATTCGGATCTTTGCGCATTGCTAAAAGAAGTCATTTAGAAACATCAGTCGCCAAAATCTAGAATTCCGAGCGGATTCTAATTACACCGTCAAAATTCACGATAAAACCTTACCCTCTCTCTGGCCAACGACATGTCGGGCAAAATCACGGTCCGGAGCGGCGCGTACTCTTCTTAGGGTACCATTTCCGGTTGTGGCGGCATCGGCAAGGCTGGTCAACATCTTTGAGAGCTCATCTTGGCGCTGTAAATTGAGATTTTTTGGGATTCCAGCATGACTAGAGCTACAGTAACCCAAAAAACAGACCTGCTCGACGCTCATGTCACTTGGTGGCCTCCTTGATTTCACCGTCGTACTTCCGCTTGCCGGCCCCTCTGCGCCAGCTCCATCGACCCAGATCTTTCCGCTATAATACGTACTTACGGTTGGAAAATAACTACAATACAGCTTCCAGCATAGTCAATTACGCCATATAAATCCCTACCGTGTCTTATTCCTCTCCCGTTTCTCGGCCATCCGTTTCCGCTGCTGCAGGATCTTGTCCCGGGTGGTACGGTATTCCAGCGCGAATTCGGTGACCTAAATTGGATTTTGGTTAGATTCGCTGCTACGGTAACTGACCATCTTGAACACCTCGTTCTGCTTCATGTCGGGGATCTCTTGGACCGAGTAGCCGAAGTAGAATAGGAAGGCATGCCACCTGAAGTGGGGGTTTTACGATGTTTTGAAGAGAGAGAGAGAGAGAGAGAGAGAGTGAGAGAGAAAGAAAGAGAGAGACAGAGATAGATAGGGAGAGCGCGAGCGAGAGAGGGCGAGTGAGAGCGAGAGCGAGAGAGAGTGAGAGAGTGAGATAGAGAGAGATACTTACCTATTCTGCGACAATCTCCAGATAGCCTTCAGCTGATGAATCCTCTGTGCAACGTCGGTGAGGTAGTCGTTGATCTTCTGCTTCATGCTCGATTGGTCGTTCTTCGAGATCTTGGCCAAGTACTCCCAGGAGACCTTGCAGTCGTGCTCCAGCTTCTTCAGACCTTCGAGGAGCTCCTTGTAGTCGACCTAAAAGCGGTAGATGAGCGTTGGATCTTGCTCTCTGTCTTTCTCTCTTTCTCTCTCTCTCACTCTCTCTCTCTCTCTCTTACCCTAGCACTCCTCGCGACAGCTCCGAATTCTGAATACAAGTCGGTCCCCTCTGGGAAGTGCTCGATCATGTATTCAGCGAGATGCCACGTCAAGGGATGCTTGTAGACCGGATCCTTCACCTCCGACGCCTTCGCCAAGTAGTCCAGGTAGAAGCCCTTGATCTGAAAACACGGAATTCAGATCAGAAATATTCAAATTAGGCTAAATTCCGGGTGAAGTTTCCGAAAATCCAAATTCCTTGTCGAAAAACATCCAAGTCCCATTGTTTACATTTTTGCCGGATCGTGAATTTTTTAGATATTGTAGTTTATAGAGCCAAAAAAATCTGCATTTTATCCATTTATTTAAAAACTTTAAAACTAATGTTTACGTTATTTTTACTAAAAAGTATTCTAAACCGGCGAATTTGGTTTTGGCTAATTTTTAAAGGTTTTTTCATGAATTTTTAATGGTTCCAAAGATACTAATTTGTAGAGCAAAAAATTCAATGTATTTTACATTGTTTTCTCAATTTTTAATGATATGGTTACGGTATCCAAAAGCCTAAAAACGCCGAAAATGCCTCACATCAGTCCCGTTCAACGTGTTCCCGATCTTCAACAACATTCCCATCGCGACACTGAACGTCTTCGACTTTTCCATTTCGTCCATCGCCCTCTGCATGTCCATCAATGCCTCAGCGAGGTCTTTCTCTGCATTTTTGTAGTCGAGAGTGAAGATCCATAGCTTCAGTCTCTCCAGGAGGCATGGGATTGAGGCGATTTTTAGTAGGAATTGTTCAGCATTCCCCAATGGCATATCCGGGTTTTCGGCCTAAATGGAATTTAATAATTAGTTGTTGTATCCCGGGTTTTAAATCTATGCTCCTCAAGGATCTCTGCTAGCCTGCTCTTAAAATTCCTCAAGGATCTCTGCTAGCTTGTTCAACGAAGCTGTGCTACTCAGCCTCAAAATCCTCAAAAATCGCTGCTAGCCTGCCCTCAGATTTCCTAAAAAATCTCTGCTAGCTTGCCCTCCAATTCCTTTAGATCTCTGCCAGTCATCCCTTGAAAATTCCGCATGGATCTCTGCTAGCCAGCTGATCTAATCCTTAAAGATCTCTGCTAGCTGCCGACCCACCTGCTTGTTCTCAATCTCCTCAATTTCCTTCGTGGAGGGCATCATTTCACGCAGGATTTTTTCGATCATTTCTTTGTTCAGGACGAGGGCATCGAATTTCTAAAGTCGATAAGTTATGGATTTGCCTTCCTGGCTTCTTTAAATCCCGTAGAAACTTACCATGATGGCTGTTGGGATCACATTGACCGGTGGCAATTTTGTCAATCCGATGTTGATCGTCTGGGATCGCTTCAGAGAGAGCACTTGGAGGACTTGAGGCTTCACGTCACCGCTTGTCTTCTGAAGCGAGAGGTAGAGGATAGAGAGCGAGAGAGAGCGAGAGACTCACCTTCACGCCACTATCCTTCGCCTTGGCCTCGAAAAGCTGCGCCAACTTGCTGGCGTCGATTGCCGGGAGGTCGAGCTGTTTCCAGAAGGTACCCTGAAAACCGAGTCAAATCCTCAATGATCTCTGCAAAACCGCCCTCGCTTCCTCAAGGACCTCTGCTAGCCACCCCCAATTGCCATCTCACTCTCTGTTCACGCCTACCTTATTCTTCAAGGTCGGCACTGGCGGAGCCTCAGCTTGCGCAGCTTTCCAATGCAGTCTCAACGTGTTGGTCTTGGGTAGAGGTGACGAATCGCGGAATGCTCCAGCCAGCGGAGGGGGAGGTGGAACACCTCCTGCTCCCGGTAGGGGAGGTGGAGGTGGGGCAAGGTGGGCGCCGTTTTGTACTGAAAATTGGGTAATAAGCATTACAATAAATAAACGTATTTTCAGATATCTTCATGTCATATCATTTTATTACCGCGCCTAGATATGACCTTTACAGCTACCTTAGATGCTTCAGAACCTACACCGAGGCGGTAGTGGGATACTTCCGGGTGGAGGTGGGATGAAGCCTCCACCGGCTGCGATTTTCTCTTGTTGTATCGTTTGCCGGGCCATCACCTAAAGCATCGATTTATTGGTGAGGTTACGGTAGCCGCAGCTTAATTGGGTTAAATCTTCATTCTACATAATCCAAATATTAAGGTAGTTTTATGTGTATCGATTAAACCGATAAATACCTACCAACGGGTCCTGCTCGTACTCGTCGGCGTGGAACTCGGAGAAGTCGAGGTCGTTGATGATCAATGGTTTGGACTTGAGGGATTCGGCAGCCTGGAAAAATTGATAGGTAGAGAGAACGAGGGAGAGAGAACTGAGAGTGAGAGAGAGAGCAAGGTAAAGCGAGAGACCAAAAGAGAGACAAAGAGAGAGAGAGAGAGAGAGAGAGAGAGAGAGAGAGAGAGAGAGAGAGAGAGAGAGAGAGAGAGAGAGAGAGAGAGAGAGAGAGAGAGAGAGAGAGGCTTTAGAGTGAGACCGGGAGAGAGAGCGAGTGAGAGAGCAAGAGAGCGAAAGAGAGCGTGAGAGAGAGCAACATACCCTATTCCACTGCATCTCCCCCTCATTCATCTTCGGCTCAAAAGCAGCTCGATTCCCTTCAGCTGCCTTGGCTGCTCTTTTTTGTAACAAAGCCGCAAAACAATTGGTGGTTCCGGAATCAGAGCCCTCGCCATCGTCTTTCTCGATCTAAAAAAATGAGCATTAATGGTAGTCATAATTCTGTTTGATTTTAAGTATTTTTCAATGGAAAATTAATTTGATAAAAATAGTTTGTTAAGAAAACCATGCCAAAGTGCCAAAAAATCAAGTTATTAAAACTCAAAACTTAAGGCCTCTAGAACTTAAAAAGTTAATGAATTTAACAACTAAATAATTTAATTGATGAATTAATGTGTTTTTTTATCTTAATAATTCTAAGTCGTTCATGCAAATTAGTTCTGAAAATGTGCTGTTAAAGTTTTAAATTTTGAAATTTGAAATTTGCTGTCTTAAGAATCAAATAAAATTGTGAATTATAAAACAGAAGGGGGAAAATCAATTCCTATCTATTTAACAAACTAAAGAAACGAAAAATAACTAAATTATATACACATCTCCACCTGTGCTCGAGGGGGCGGGCTGTGGATGTCGCGCTGGTAGCCATTAATGCCGGAACCTCCGTAATTAGTAGCCGGCGTGGCTGTGGAGGTGGACGGCTCCGGGAAGTCCATATGTTTGCTCTCCGTGGGGGAGAACAACGTCGGGAAGGAGGGCGGCGGGGCTTTGACCTGGGAGAGTTACGATAGCAGGGGCGGATTTTAGGGTGGAAATTGGAGGTATTTAGGTAGGTTTAAAACTTATCGATAGTTGGGTGGAGATAGAAGAGTGTTTTTTAGGGTTTGAAAAATCCAGGGCAAGCTTAGGCTTATCCTTGGCTTAGGCTTAGGTTTAAGGAGACTGACCGGCTTCTCGTCCTCCGCCACCTCATCTGGGACCTCGTTCTCCTGATTCTCGATGAGCTTAATCGGTTCGGGGATCTTGCGCTCCTTCGAAAGGTCGGGCGACGTGGAGATGATCGGGGCCGGCTAAAAAAACAATTTTATCTATTTCTACTATTAATTTAATCTACGAAAATTGCTGTTTTGAGCGCTTTGACTAATTTTTTAGTCCAAGCTCGTGCTCATCAGATAAATCAGGAAATTCTCTACAAAACTCCGTTTTTCAATAATTTAATGGATTACGGTAGCCGAGAAAAACTAGATAAAACGCGTTTTTGGCGATGGTCCTCCTAAATATGGCGTCTAAAGTAATTTGTTGATGTCCACATTATAGTATCGTAATTCTACAGTAATTCCTGCCCCGGTACATCGTGCTCTCCACATACCGTATGGTTATTATTCGGTTCTGGCGTCTTTGACTGCTCGGTCCTCCAGGAAGAAGCCAGGGGCTGCCTTGGTGGTTCTGGCGAGACGCTAAAAAATAGTATTAGGCCGGACAGAAATCCAGGTAAGCGTATTGTATCTAGTTGGCTATCTTGTAAAGTACCAAAATCGAGGATAGAATCTCAAGGAGATACTTCAAAACTAAAACAGTTTTAGAACGTCGTTATAAACATTTTTTTTTCTGAGATCCGACGACGACTGCCAACCAAATGACCAAATGCTTTAGGTTTGGATAAACTTACGGTCTGGCATTCGGCTTTTCGAAAATCTGGCGATTCTGGGTGACAGAGAGGTGCTCTTCCTGGCGTTGCAGGGACTCCTGGAGTAATTTCTATAATCATAGTTGTCGAAATTGTCAACCTGATGCCGTCTCCGCATTAATGAACGACGATCTTGCGAGGAATTTGAGGAAGCTCTGGAGACAACGGCAGGTCTAGAATACTGCTTACAAAACCCCTACCACGCTCTAATTACCGTAATCTCGCCGTGCCATCATCGCTGGCATCACTGCTACCCTCTTCGGCGGCGTCTTCCTGAAATCAACTTCCACGTAGCCGTTATTTCGAATTTCGGTATAGTATTTTTGCATTTTTAGGTGGTATGCCGTATCCCGTAGGGTGGAGCGATACGTGGAGCGTATCCCGTAAAGAATTCCGAATCTCCCTGGTAATACCTAAAATTACGCACCTGGTTCAGTTCCCTCTCATACAGCCTGCACTGCTCGATCAGCTCCTTGTTATTGGTAGCGGTCTGTAAAAAATATATAGTAGAACTACCGTAATAGATTGAATTTTGAAATCACAGTTTTATAAAATGAGCGGACTCACCAATTGCTTCATCACTTTGTCCATACCGAGCTCCTCCAACGTGTCTGTGCAGTCGTAGAAAGTATCCTAAAATTGCACGATTTTTTCTTCTCTCTCGCGCGCTCTCTCTCTTTCTCTCTCTCGCTCTCTGTCTCTCTTGCGCGCGCGCTCTCTGACTCTCCCTCTCTCTTCTGTCTCACTTACCCGATCGGGGATTCCGTGAAGAGCCTTGTTAATGACCGTCATGCCGATGACGAGCGTTTCCGGATCCGGGCAGTCTTTTTCGCTGACCGCCTTCACCAACAGGGTCCAATCAGAACGGTCTGGGAATAAAAAAACATTCTTATAATTAAAAAGATTTAAATAACCTTATCTTCCACGCAAATTGGTAAAAATTCTTTGCCTTCCAGGCCCCTTTAAAACGTCCGACACAGAAAAGCTACAAAAATGAAATTTCACCCACTTGCAGCCTTATCAACAGCCGAAACAGCCGCGAGCACGAGCAGTGAATTGTTGTCGTTGTACTCGATGAAGACGAGGAGCAGCTTCAGAGCCGTTTTCACGACCAAGCGGAACTAAAAATTTCGGATTTTTAGCATTTTCCGTCTAATTCCATCAATTCCAACATGCAACAAAGAACACGGAACTTCTCTTGCAACTACCGTACCCATTCCTGCCTGTAGGGGCTCATCTCCTTGCGCTCCTTTTCGTCGTACAGCTGAAAGTGGACACCGGACAGTACGGGACGATACGATCGACAACGGACAGGGTACAGAGGATTGTAACGGACTAAATGCCGTACCAAGGGTTGTACCGGACCCTACTACCTTACACAGAGTAGCGTAGCGTACACTACTACCATACACAGAGGAGCGTAATGGAATGCACTATCGTTACGAGAGGACGCAGGAGCGTAACGGACTCTAGTACCGTACACAAAGGAGTTTAATTAACTATATACGGTACATAGAGGAACTTAACGAACTGTACTACGGTGTAGGGAGGAGCGTACCGGACTCAAAAACGTACCGGTGAGTCCAACAGCTCGTACAGCCACTGGATGGTCGCGTTATGGGCGACGATTCCGTTCATTCCATCCACGTACAGCATTACCTGCCCAAGAGCTAAAAAAAAGATGTTTTTAAAGGTACTAGGAAGCCAGAAATTGACAAAAACCTTCTGAAAATCCAGTACCGCAATTCCCAAATGGTCTTTGCTTGCTATCCCTGAGTTTTTCGTTTGTAGATCTTTGCGGCGTTTTCCTGGCTTCTCAGTACCTTTAGGATACGGTAAATGCATTTTCTTTTTTATGAACTCCCCCAATTTTCCCTAATTCTCCTCGAACAATAGATTAGCCCCCAAGAGCCAAAATTTCTCCGGATTCCAATGAGTGAAAGCCAGTGAAATTCAAATTTCCTTCCTCTCGCTCTCTCTCGCTCTCTCTCTTTCTCTCGCCTAATTAATCATGCCCCGGGGCGCCCTCACAGCCCATTCCCACCGATATGATAACGGCCGGGGAGGGGGGGGGGGGGCTGGAATCCCGGGAGTGAGACTCCCGCTGCGCATTTTTGAGCATTAGGCCGAAAGGAGCGAGAATGAAGTGCACCTAGCAGAAACCATTTAGGAAGGCCGGATCGTCGGATAAGCTGGCAGAGATTATTTTTAAAAAGCCTGGAAGCCGGGGCAAGCGGGCGTTGAGAATTTGGGAGGCGCTATAAAAAGGGGTAAACTAGCAGAGAGCATTTGGGAGGGTGAAGTGACCAGGAGAGCCAGCAGAGGCTATTTAGGAATGTCTAGAGGTCAGGGCGAGCTAGAATAGATCTTTGAGGAAAGTCCTCCGGCTGGGGGAAACTAGCAGAGATCATGTATGAACGTTTGCAGGTCATGGTAAACTAGCAAAGATCATTTAGGAGCGTTTGAAGGGAAGGCAAGCTAGCCGATATGATGCAAGGCTTGAAGTCATGAGCGTACTAGCAGAGATCATTTAGGAACGCTTTGATCTCTGGGCAAGCTAGCAGAGATCATTTCAGAAATATCACCCACCTCTCAAAATATAATTCTGATGATTCTGATCGGCCACTCGACCCAGCCGAATCATACAGTCCAGCCCTCCATTCTGCACAAATTCATGCACCAGGTCTTTGTCATCCTGGAATAGGGTACGGTAGAAAGGGCAAACAAAAATTGAAAAATACCTGGAAAATCTGCTTCAACGAAAACAAGGCCCTTCTTTGATCTCGACCACCGGCGTTTAGGAGTTTGTCTGAAAATAGGAGGGTTAGAAAACCTGGTTCACAGCCTATTCTGCTTAATGCCAAATTTTTGCGATTTGATAAATGGCTAAGTTGCATTTTACACACCGAGATTCCATAAAAACTTAAGAAATTGCGAGATCAGAAGAATAATGTCGAATTTAACATAATTTAAATTTCTTGAATCTTTGGGCGCCATTTGCATAAAGGCAAAAAGGCTGAGGTAAAAATTTAATAAAATCAACTATAGCTATCAAAAATTAAACCAACAAAGCTGTTAAAAAATTAATTAGATAAAAACAAATTGTAGAAAACCTAATTTTAAAGTTAAAAATTTTAAATTTTCGGATTTTGGTCATTTCTAGAATTGCATACGGCCGAATTTTAAGAGCATTTTGATGATTGTTTTTGAATCAATAAATTCCGCGTTCTAAAATCTATATGGATATGCAAATTAAGGACCTCTAACATGCGCTAACCCCCAGAAAATTCACCAATGATCGTCTTCACGCGGAGCGTCGTCTGCGTGCGGAGCACCAGGCTGCAGCGACGACTGAAAAATGTTGCATAAATTGTGCTTTTCCTATTTTTATTTTAATAAATTGTTTTTTATTAAAATTTACCATATCTTAAGCTTAAAATCACCTACAATTTCAATAATCTTAATTTTGCTCATTTTGGTTAAGATTTAATGAACCCAATTTTGATCTCAATTCCCCCGCCGAACCTCCTAAACTCAGCCTCCCAGTCAAATTCCTCCTCCGAGTCGAACTCCTCGGACTCGCCGGCCACCTCTGGTTTAGCACGAATTGGTTGTACTCGTTGCCGGGGTCGTTCTGCTACTGTAGCAGGAGCTATCACTAGACTGGTGTCTCTTTGATGTCGTCCGGTATTGTTTTCAGGTTTGGCATGGTCTTTGACTTCTTGGATGGCTTCAGCTCGTCCTTGTGTTCGCTGCTGAACGGCTCCCAGACGACCGGCATCGCCTGGTGGAAGGTGAGACTGTGTTGCAGCCGGCTTAGGGAGCTCGGGCTCGAACTGTTTGGAGTCGTCGCGCCTCTCGAATCGTGCCCGGAAGTCAGCCACCCCGCCCCCGGACGGCTTTTCCCATTTTGGGAGTTGGAAGTTGGGTTTTGGCTTGATGGCGCTTTTAATTTGGGAGGCTTCGGAGGCTTTGTTGTTCTCCAGCTCGACGTTGAGCTTTTTCTCGAGCTCGATCCCAGTTCGGTCTCCAAAATATCTTGCACCTCGAGCTGCAGAGGCTTCTGCTGTGGCTCCCATACTTCCGCTGGTAGCTCCCGACGACTTTGAGGTGTTCGGGGGAGCGTCGCGTAGCTGGGCGCTGGAGTCGCGTACGGGTGCAAGACGTTCAGGCTCGGAAAATCCGAGATCTGGCACTTTTGCCCATTTCGAGCCTCCCCGGCTTGATGTTGTTGCCTCGAGGCTGTGCTTGCTGGCGTCCTCGTCTGCATCTCGCACTCCTTGAAGTGGTCCTGCACCTGATTTTGCCCATTTTGATCCGCCCAAGCTCGATCTTGAAGCCCCCGAGCTTGAGTTTTCACTGGAATTTCTAGCGTGCCGTACTGCTTCAAGTCGTTGGTCAATTGGACTTGACGACTTAGAGCTTCCCAGGCTTGGATTTGGGACTTCAGTGGCTTGGTAAGAGCCTGTGGAGGTTCTGGAGCTTGAACTTCCGACGGGTTTTGGTACTGCTTCAACTCGTTGGTCAGCTGGTTTGGCCCATTTTGAGCTTCCCACACTCGTTCTTTCACCGGAAATTGGAGCGCCCCGTACTCCTTGAATTTGTTGCTCCGCAGCTGGGATGCATTTTGAGGTTCCCAGGGAGCTTTCGGCGTATTTTGCAGCGTCCCGCGCTGCTCCGACTTGCTGATCGGCCTGTGTAGCCCATTTTGGGCTTCCGTAACCTGATTTTGAAGCTCCGGAGCTTGGATTTTCACGGGAATTTGGAGCATCCCGTACTTCTTGGACTCGTTGGTCACCTCCCCTTGCCCATTTTGAGCCCCCCAGTCCGGTTCTTGAGTTGCTTGGCCCCGTCGTTTCACTTCCACCTCGCCAATCTTGGTCTGCTTCCAGGTTGACTGTTTTTGCGGTTTGTTGCCCGAACTGCTTGGTGTCCACCCCCTCGGGAGGCTTCGGTTCCACGCGGTCGCGAAAGGGGTATCGATTGGTGGCCACCGCGGGGCTGTACTCCTTGCGGAACGCGTGTTCAATGTCTTGGCGCTGGAGCTTGGGGCTTTTCCAGGGTTCCTCGATTTTAGGGGGCACTTTTGGGGTTCTCGCGAAATCATTGTAGTTTGGAGGGCCATCCAGGGGAATATCGAAACTTTTAAAGGTTTTTTCAGGTTCTTCTTTTGCTTGGAATTTGGCTAGAGTGGCAGATAATGCCGAATTTCTAGAGTAATTTGCTGTATTTTGTAGCTTGGGAAATTCTAGGCTACGCGACGCTCCTATCGACGCGGATTGTAGCGTAGGGGAATCGGGCAGATCATCGTCAATGTACGGTATCGTAGCCTGAGGATAGGCGGGCTCAAGTACGGTGGGCCGACGTGGGAATCGACTCGATTCTGGTTTTAAAGGACCGTTGAAGTGAGACTGAGGTGGATCTGCGAATTGACAGGTAATCCGCTCGAGTCTGGGGGTAGCCACGCTGGTTGTGGCATCGATATGGATGGACAGGTCGATGTCGTACGCCCGCAAATTTGAGGGGGCCGCCGGAGGAGCGTAGTGGAATTGGCTGCTGCTCGGGGAATTATAGCGCGCCATGGGGTACTGTAAAAGACAAGAAATTGAGAGGAATAGTGAGAGCGAGAGATATAGAGAGAGTGAGAGAGGGAGAGGTAAAGAGAGAGAGAGAGAGATAGAGAGAGAGTGAGAGAGAGAGAGAGAGAGAGTAGATAGAATGAGTGAGTGTGAGGGAGCATGAATTTCCCGCAATTTAAGGTATGAAGCGTACTGTAACCTTTCGGACACCAAAAACCATAAAAGAAAGCGAGAGGGAGGGAGAGCGAGATAGAGAGAGCGAGATAGAGAGAAGAAGATTGAGCAATAGAGAGCAAATTTTGGCTGATTTAGCGTAACGTAGCGTACCGGAACCCAAAAATACTAAAAAATCCAGCCGAATCCAAATCCCAAAGCCCCAAATATCATCGCGTAATCAATTCCGGGGCCTCGAGTGTGGGAACGTGAATATGGAAATAAAGGCTGAGCTGGGAAAGAGGGGGGATCTCGCCGAATTTCTGGGTGGGCGGGGGTGTCCAGAGGAATGGTGCGGAATAGGGGGAACAGGTTCTTGTCTCTTCCCCTTCAAAGGGCCGTATCCTTTCCGGGAGCAAGAGGGGGGAGATGTCGATCTGGGGTGCATTTTGAGGAGCATTTTGAGGAGCATCAGCCCTTTCGGCGGGGAGTGTCAATTCGAGAAGCCATAAAAATGGTGCCAGGAGTGGTCGATGAGGTTGAGATGTTTCTCGTCCTCATTTTTGGCTTTACTGGGGTTTAAAAAAATAGCTGAATTTCCTGAAGAATCTTCGCTGGCCTAACTTCCTCTCGAACTTCCGGATTCCGGTTTTTCAAAGATTTTGACACTTGGTTGAGAGACAGAGAGAGAGAGAGAGAGAGAGAGAGAGAGAGAGAAAGAGAGAGAAAGAGAGCGCGCGAGATAGTGAGAGAGCGATAGTGTGATTGAGAGGGAGAGGGAGTGAGAGAGAGCGAGAGAGAAGGAGCAAGACAGAGAGAGCGAGAGAGAGAGCGAGAGAGAAAGAGTGAGAAACGCAGAGAGGCATGCTTGCAAAGACCATTTGAGAAACCATGACGGTTCCTTAGGACCGTAAACACCCCAGG